CAAAAATCTGTGTCTGTGCTGATGCCTCTAGAGCTGTTTCATCCTTGAGAATCACTTGTTGTACTCTCCCCAGCTGAGCAGAGGTGCTGGAGCTGGTCAGGCAACAGCTATTTCCAACAAGCCAGAAAGACAGCAGTCAAATGGATGTAAAGCTTAGGGCACTGTGTGGTGGGAAAGCCAGCTCCATCCCTTCCACCAGTCCTCTGTGGGGTCTGCAGAGACAATGACCCTGGCACCAGCTTTAGTGCCTGCCACAGCTCCAAATTTTGCTGGAGCATCGCACAGCTTGCAAGTGATGTGCTCAGGTGGGATGCACCTGGCTCTGATGCAGCCTTTCATCCCTTTGCTCCGAGCTTTTACAACAAGTCTGGTTGCAGCCCAGGTCACTGGGAAGCCACCACAGCCAGGCATTAAACACGCCGAGTTTGCAGAGAGGACATCAGCAGAGTGCGTGGGAGAAGTGGCTTCCTGCCATGTGAGAGGTTAATAGACAGATTAGAGAGGGCAGGCACTGTTTGCAGCGAAAGGGAAGGAGCTTTGCCTATACAGAGTTCAGCAGCTCCATGAGGCGATGAGGAAGTAAATATTTGCCAGGATTAGGGAGGCTGCGTGCAGGAGCCCAGGGTAGAAGTGCCCGTGCAGAGCCAACTCTCGGGCTGGTTTTGGCATTGAGCAGGGACTGAGAGTTGGACATCAGCTGGGGAAGGATGGAGGAGGTTGGAGCAGGGCACCCTGCACCCAGAGGCACTGCCCAAAGCCTCAGGGCAGAAGAGCCTTTAATGCTTGATGACTTTGTTTTCTTCTGCTGCTTTTCTTGCTCTCTCTATCAGCCCGACGGGCTGGCCCACCTCCAAAGACAGCATTACGGAGCGCCAGATCGATTGAAGCCTGCACTTTTATTTGCTCTCTTTAAGAGCCTTTGATGGGCAGGATGAGCTGTGCCAGCGAGGGCCTTTCCTGGGAGAGGAGGGGAGAGGAACAGGGTTGCAAGCCACTGTCTTCCACAGGAAGACAGGGACTCTGCCACCAGCTTGAAGAAGGCACCGTGGCAGGATGGACAATGACAGCCCTTGGCATGCACTGTGACAGCTGAGAAGGGGCTGGTGGCCCTGTCCTTCATGGTGCCTGCTGGTCATGGTCATGGTCACCTTCATGGTATCATGGTCACATCCCCGAGTGCCCCTGTGCTCTCCCATGGGGTGGACTTTCTGCCCATTGAGTTGGGAAGAGGGGCAGTCGTGTGACAAACCCTTCCCAAAATGCCTGTAGCTCTGGGACTGATGGCTCTTTGGAGAGATGGAGGTGGCAGGAGTGTCCCCATGAGACAGCTTGTTCCTGGCCAGAACGAGAGAGTGATGCAACAGGGTACAACTGGCATCCCTCCAGCTGCTGCAGACTGAGAATTCTGCATGGCCACCAGGATGGCAGAGATATGAGGGTCCTTTTGTCCCCTATCCCGACTCTCTTTCCACCTCTTGCTTACTAAAAGGCACCAGAGGATGAAAGGTGGAGGATGCTGTGGATGCAGAGGCTAGAGGCTAGGAGCTTGGGGCTGGGGGCCCCAGTCTTGGAGCAGAGGACAGGATCTTCAGGGCATTCAAAACTGTGAAAATGGGGCATCTTCACGGCTGCTGCAGAGTGAGGATGGAAGTGGGAGGCAGCCTAGGCAGCCCCCCTTCTCCCAGCAAAGCAAACCTGGGGGCACGAGCCCTCCCCAGCCTCCTCGGTGGAGGAATTAGCACAGATCACCAAGCGCCAGATCCAGTGTAGTACTGAAGACAACGGAGATAAATTATCCCCAGATGGACTAATTGCAGCTCAATAGCAGTGCAGCGTCAGGGGATGTACAGGTAGGGACCTTGGAGGTTTTTGGGGATGCTCACCTCGGCTGCCTCTACCCGGCTTCCCAGCTAGATACTGGTGTCGTGCGGGACAGCTGAGTGCAAGCAAGTGGTTGAGAGGTCACAGCGGCATCCTCAGCATCCTCCCCTTCCATGCCACATTTCCAGTCCCCCGCCCGGTTTGCTGGGTGCCAGGCGGGTGCCGTTAGCCCACACTGCCACCGCGCGGTCACTGGGACCCCAAAGGCTGTCCCTAAATCCCCTGCACCCCTTCACCCCTCCGGAACACCTCCCCGGAGCCCCCAACCTCCTCCCCACGCACCCCTGCGAGGGGTGATGCTGCCCCGGGGGCAGCTACGGGGCAGGGAAAGGGAAGAGGGGGAGAAGGAGGAGGAGAAGGAGGAGGAAGATGAGGCTGTAGCTGGGATCAGGGCCTTTGTCTCTGGCCTTGCGATTAACCGCTCTGTTTTGCTGCGGAGGGTCTGCTTGAATAATTTAGCTGGGAGGCTCATTAACCAGGTTCTGGCCTTCGTCTGCCGGCTGAGGGCTGAAATAGCCATTAGGAGGAACACGCCTCGGGGGCAACACAGCCTCAGCCTCTAATCCCTCTCCCTCTCCCTCTCCTCTCCCCACTCCTGCTGCCCTTGACTCTTTTGCCATCATCTTGCTCCCTCTCCAGCCCTGCCCCAGAGGTGCCAGCATGTGCAAGCCCCCAGCCTCAGTTTCCCCTCCATGGACTGCAGCACAGTGCTGCAGCTGGAGCTCATGGCATACCCTCAGAAAGCTTTTCTAGCAAAACCTGTTGCCCTGTCTATGAGCTCTGCTGTGCAACAGCAAGCCAGGATCCTAACCGCTCACCCCATGCTCATGGGTTGGGTTGTCCCTCTCCGGAGAGCACCATCAGGCTGTGGTTTCCCATCAGGGCCCTGCTTTGCCTCTGGACACCCACACCTGAGCAGAGAAGGGCCATCCTTAAGCATGTTACACCCTCAAGACCTGGGCTGCATGTAAGGAGACCTCCAGGAGACCAGCAGCTCTGCAGGGCTGCATGCCACATGAGGGATTTGCACAGACATGGCTGCAGTGGTATCCCATTTTGCATTGATGTCTTGAGGCTTTGGCATCCTCCTGGTGCTGCTGGCTTCACTGGTACAGCAAGGGCACCCTTATCCAACTCACTGCATCCTTTTCTTCTCTGGCACAGCATGCAGAAGGGGTTAGGTTGATGCACAGCTTCCCTGCACCAAGATAGAATCATAGAATGGTTCTTCCACATAGAATGGAAGGGACCTTAAAGATCACATAGTTCCACCCCCCCTGCCATCGCAGGGACGCCTTCCACTAGACCAGGTTACTCAAAGCCTCATCCAACCTGGCCCACAACTGGTCGGGGCAACCTGTTCCAGTGTCTGACCACCCTGACACGAAATAATTTATTTCTAATATCTAATCTAAATCTCCCCTCTTCCAGTTTAAAGCCATTTCCCCTTGTTCTATCACTACCTGCCCTTGCAAAAAGTCCCTTCCCAGCCTTCCTGGAGCCCCTTCAGGTACTGGGAGGCCGCTATAAGATCTCCCCAGGGTCTTCTCTTCTCCAGGCTGAACAGCCCCAACTCTCTCAGCCTGTCCTCACAGGAGAGGTGCTCCAGCCCTCAGATTATCCTTGTGGCCTCCTGTGGACTTGCTCCAGTAATAGGTCCATGTCCTTCTTATGTTGAGGGTCCCAGAACTGGATGCAAAGTGTCCAGTAGCAAGACATGGTTCATGCACATTGCTGTGGGACTTGTGATTTGCCCTTGCAGCCCTTGGGAGAAGGAGGTTTCCAGCCTGGGAGTGCTCCCTGAACTCTTGCATCACTGCATCCTTGTTTGCATCTCATTGTTGGGAATGGGCATGTGTAAGGCATCTGCCTCAGGAGCAGGGAGGAAAGCAGTGAGCCATGCTGGGGGAATGCTGCCAGGAGCATGGAGAGGTGGTGAGCAGCAATGTTTATGCTGAGGCTGCCAGTTTTGATAGGTTCCTTTCAAAACCTCTGCTTGGAGAGAAGAGTGTGTCCTGGGACATCCTGGGAGGATGCATGGGGGTGGTTTTTTTGGAAAGAGGGACAGCCACAGGTTCAAACAGCCTTTCTGAGGGAACTTTGGTGCTCATCTAGCCCAGGGAGGATGTTTTATGGCAAAGTACCGTGCCAAGGTGCTGCAGTTGTAGCTGAACTCTTCTCTTAGCAATACAAGTGTCCTGGTACTGAGAGGAGTTGACTTTGGTGTCAGTTCATCAACGTTTTCATCAACCTACAAGGGCAAAAATTTATCATCTGAACAGTATCACATCTCATCCTCCCACATGCACTGGCCCTCAGCATTTTGCAGAGTCTTCCTGCAGCTCTGGCTGTGTTCCTGCAAAGATCACAACGTGCACATACGACTGGGAAATCTGGGTGCAGTGTGAACACTTGGTTGGGTTTAAAAGCCTCTTCTGCCTCTAACTCTAGGACTGGCTGATGGGGCCAGAGGTAGGCTGTTCCCACTATGTGCTCTCATCACATCTCTGATTGCCTCCATCTCTCTTAGCAGGCAGGCAAGGCCCTGGGATGGGATGCTCTGAAAGTATTAACATAACCAGTTCTCCTGCAGAGCTGGATTTTCTCTGCTGGTTTCAGGTTATTCCTTCTCATCTTGCCATAAGCAGTCCTTCCCTCTCCCTTTGAGGACCTTTGGTATTCTGGAGGATCATCCCTCAACAAGAAGTTTATCACTCCCCAGGGACATGGCAGAGAAAGCTGTGAGCGCTGTAGCTTAATGGGGTCAAGAGAGCAGCACCTCCTCCCCGTCAGCAACGTCTCTGTAGCAGCCTTGAAGACAATTTCCCCCAGTACCTGGCAACCTCCTCTGCCACTCCTTCTCTCATTAGAGCTGGTGAGATGACAGAGGAGAAAGTTTGCTGTTTTGCACTGCCCAGTACAAGGCAAGGTCTCTTGGGGAGCTTCAGCAGCAGACGTGGAACAAAGACCCCCACATGGTTCATGCAGTTGATGATAAACATAGACCAGGCTGCCCTTGCAAACTGTGTCCCACCCTGAGCTGACAGCAGTTGAGGGTGTTCAGAACCTGGTGATAACCTCACCTCGATGGGTAATTGCTCTTTCTCTTTCCCGGGCAGCCCCTCCAAAGGAGCCAGTGCTGATGTGCCGGTCCAACAACTACCCGAAGGGTTTCTACTGCAGCTGGCACCTGCCCACTCCCACCTACATCCCCAACTCCTTCAACATCTCTGTCATGTAAGTGCCTGGCACAGAAGGTCACAGTGAGAGTTTTTGTCCCTGCAGCCTGGAGCAGGTTCCAAGTAGTGTTGTGAAGTCTCAGGGCAGCGGGTCTGACCTCTGCTGAGTATATTGGATCAGTGTCCCAAAAATGGGGCTGGGGACGATGCACCAGGGACATCCAAACTGGATGCTTGGCACTGGGGATTTGTCCCAAGAAAGTTCCAGTTTCCCTAGAGGGGATCAGGAAAGTCCCCAACTCCCGAGTTTCCGTGCCCCCCAAGTCCATCTTCTCTGCACCACTTGTCCACAGTGGAGGTGTTGATGCCTTTGGCACAGCCATGCTCCCTTCTGCTGTACACTGGCTGCAGCTGGGCAGCAACAGTGTCCCTCACCTAGAACTGGCCATGGCCTGGCATCGTCCCCCACCCTGTGCCCAGAGGCTGGCAGAGCCCTTATACAGGCTGGTGCTATCCATTAACTTCTGGGACTTGTGTCACCAGCAGAAAGGAGACCCTGTTCCTCTCAGGGGGAGGGAGGGACAGAGCCAACCCCAGTCCCAGCAAGGTCTCATGCTTTGCCTGAGGCTAGCATAAGGACGTTCACCACAATCTCTGTGCAGGCTCAGGATAAAACATCACACACATGAGCCTGCAAAATTCCCCAGGAGAAGGAAAGCATGCCTTTGGCTGCAGCAGGGACTGGTGCACAGGGGACCATGGGCAGAGCGGGGACACGACACTGCTCCTTCTGCCTCCTGCTTCCAGCAGCAGGGGTGTATCCCCACCACAAGCACTGCTCTGTAGGTAACAGCTCTTCTCGCCCCTGCTTTCCAGACACGGCACGAGAGAGATGGTCTGCGAGAAGGATGTCTTTCCCAAAAACAGGTGTCACATCAGATACCTCCAGCTCTTCTCAACAGTGAAGTACAAGGTGACTCTGACAGTCACGAATGCTCTGGGCAAAAGCTCCACCACTCTCACCTTTGATGAGTTCACCATAGGTAACTTCTGCGGCAGCAACTGGCCTCTCTGAGATGGTGTTGGGGTTGGCTTGCTCTGCAGGCAGTGTCATCTGCCACAGTGATGGGCCAGGGAAGGGGTAGGATCTCCAAGTGGAGCCTCTGTCTTACCATACATGAGATGGAGCTGGGGTCTGAGCCACACTGGCATCCTCCTCATGCCTCTCCTGGTTCTCTTGGCCCTGCTGTAACTGGTGCCAGCATCCTGGGGAGGCCAGGTGGGATGCCCATGCTGGTCCCATCAGTGGTCTGCTACCTGATCTGGTCAATCCCCAGTGGTCCAGAGCTCCTGTGGTTGCTGAGCATCTGTGTGCTTTGGGGCAAGGGCAAAGGGCTATGAAACTGGTGTGGTCCAAATGGTATTGCCCTTATTACCCCTCTGAGCATCCCTAGAAGAAAGGTTTGGTGTTTGTGCTGGAAGCAGAGTCATGGGAATTAGGATTGGAAGAGAAATAAAAATGTCCCGTCCTCTTGCCTCCATCCCTAGGTGGGATAAAGCCCTCCTGAAGTCATCCTCCAGCAGCCCTTACCTAACAGTTTCCTAAAAACCTTATTCCCCACTTTGCACCTCGTCACTGCCCCATCTGATCAGTGGATGGTGTGCAATGTGGGACTGGGAGCAACAGGCCCTGGGTCAGGGGGTGGCTGTGCTGCTGGCTGTGCTGCAGGGATGCTCTCCAGCTGTGTCCAGATCCATGGTGCAGATGCTACTCCCAGCTGTGAAGGACTGTCATGGACCAGGCAATTCAGTGCTGAGCATGGCAAAGCAGGGAGCTGGGCACAGCACTTTTACTGCCAGCCAAAGAACAGGATTACAGACGGTGCCGTGGCAAGACTGTCCATCCTCAAAGAACAGGAAAAATAGGAGAGAACAGAGTTCAGAAACACGTTGAAAAACAATTTGGTGGTTACATGTGGGAATTACTGGACCAGAAAAACAAATAAATGAATCCTTGAAGTGCAGTCAGCAGTCAGTCTTTGCCTTCGGTGTGCTGCATGTGCCAGTCCCAAGCAGCTTGAAGTGCTAGAGTACAAGAAGAGGAACTCCACTGCTATCCCAGATTTGCCCTTTCTACCCCAGATCCTGGAAAACATCAAACAAGATACAAGGTTCCAGCTCTGAACAAAGCAAGGAAATTATTTTGGAGCAGGGACTGTCCTGCCGTGCCCCTGCAGCCGCAGTCCATATCCAAAGCTCGTGTTTGTCAGTGCATTGCAAACACTGATAACAAGGCAAGGAGCTTAGCAGGGAAGCGGTGGAGTTTCAGTCACTTGGGTGCCTTTAAATGGAAATTGTTGTGTTTGTGGAAGATACACTCCTTAAAAATGAAGGTAACCTCCAGCCTGTGGGGCCCAGGGCAGCAATTAAGCTGCATTTTCTGAGTTCCTTGCATTCCCTCCTGCAGGAGTTCAGGGCATCGTCCTGTAACATCTGCATCCCACCCATGCCTTGCCTGGCTTCCCAAACATCTGGTCCTCCATCCAGCACACAAGGGCAACCCCGCTGGGATGCACACCCAGCTGCAAGCCTCGGGCATCCCGGCGCCAGCACAAGTCGGATCCAGCCCAGGAGTTTGAACTCAGCCCCGGTCAGAGGAGCAGCGAGCGGAGGCCAGCGCTGTCTCAGACCAGCCATTAGCATGGGTGCCATACTGCTTCCTCTTGCAAAAGCACATGGAGCGGTGCAGCGTTGCAGTGAGAGTTGAGACCCCCCAGCTCCACCTGGCAGATGCTCTGGGATGACACTCTGGGAAGGGACAATGCGCCAGTGCATCCACCCAACCCAGTCCTGCACCCTGGAGCCAGCCCAGTCCTAAAAACACTTCAATATCAAGTGACCTTAAAATCTCCACGTTCTGTACAGCTATGAAATTCTCCTCCTTAGTATTCGGTACAGCTGCTGTGCGTAAGAACCATAGATGTGGTAGTGATTGAGCTTTCAAGCAGGCAGTCAACAGGCTTAGCAGAGTCATTACAGGGTGAACTCAACAGCCACCTACCCTGAACAGAGCTTCTCAGAATCACAGAATTGCCCAGATTGGAAAAGACCTTCAAGATCATCGAGTCCAATCATTAACCTCACACTGACACGTCCCCAACTAAACCCTGTCCCTCAGCACTATGTCTACACGACTCCAATCCCTCCAGGGATGGGGACTCCACCACTGCCCTGGGCAACCCCTGCCAACACCTGATCTCTTTGTGCTGTCCCAGTGTTTGCAGTTAAAACAAGTGCACTGCATTAGTGTATTTTGTGAGGCAGTTTTGCCCCACACTGCCAGCTCCCCCTCCAGAAGCTTCTGCATTTCAGTGTCTCCTGGTTCTCTTCTCTGCAGCTACAAGCCTGGGGCTGTGTCCCACCAGGTGGGTGTTGGTAGTTTGGATCTAGCATCCACTTCCCTGGTGATGTCTACCAGCATCATCCGGGCTGAGATCTCATCTTGGAAGTTGTGCTGGGTTTTGCTCTGCTAGATGGAGGAATGGAAAGCATATGGCTCAGGACAAAGCCATTGCATCAGATCATTGGAAAAATGCTGTGTGGAAGCATTGCAACGTGTGCACACATCCTGCTAAAATGGAGAGACGGTGTCAAATAGCAACTGCATGATGCTTCTCCTAAAATCCCAGGGCTGAGAGTGTCAGAGCCTGTCTTGTGTTTTCCACCTGGTCTAGCAAAAACCATCACAAATGCATGGAGATCAAATCTGGGGCACGAAGCCCTGATCTCATGCCCTGCTGGGGATGGAGCAGCCTGGAGCCAACGTGACAGCAGCACAGGGACAGCAGCTCTCCTGGTGCTGACTGAGCCAGGAGCTGACCTGCTGCTGCTGAGCCAGACCACCCAGCCAGCCTGGGCAAACACAAAAAGCTTCCTGGGAAGGAGTGACCTCCTTTGGTTTTGTTTCCTCTCTCCTTCCACCCTCCCTGGAGCCCCCAGCAGAAAATCCCTTCCCCAGCCACTTGGAAGATGGGCTCTAATTGAGTGGAAAGTGACTGGTACTTTCTTTTGCTCTCCTGAGCCTATGCCTTGCTGGTGGTCATGCCATGCTGGTTGTTAGCAGCCAGCTGCAAGGATTCACTCTGCATTTCCATCTTCAGTGATGACTGGAAGATGTTTTCCAGCCCTCTGGCCCCCATCTCTCATCAGTAGGAGATCCAGGCTGCCTTCCTCCCTGTCTCACTCCTGGAAATTGTTTTCATAATTATGTCTTCTGCAAAGGTATCAATATTAATAAAGGTGAGCATGAGGAGGGCAAGGCTCTGCAAAATGCTGCAGATATCAGGACTCCAGCCTAAGGCAAGAGAAGGTGGGAGAAGTGCTGGAGAAGCTGTAGAGGAGAGGCCTTGGAGGCAGAGAAGGGTGCCAGGTAGTGTGTCAGGAGATGTGCACCTGCCTTATGATGACTGGGACAGAGTGGGGACATTTCTGGACCTCCAGGACACAACCCTGACTTCCTCGCTTGTATTTCAGCCCAAGAACCAGGTAGCCAGCACGTGCTTCCCCCAGGAAAGCAGGGACATTGCTACCATGCAGCAACACTGACATCCCACCTCAGCACCTTTCTCCTTGTGTGAGCTTGGGGCAAATTAGCTGGAGAAGATGCACACCATTAAAAGGAGGAAGGCAGACTTGGACGGGGCCTTGCAGGCATGGGTGCGTTCCCCAGATTTGCCACCCATCCCTTCTGTCATTTTGGGAAGATTGTTTGATCCCCTCAGCTCTGACTCTGGGGGTATTAAGATGCAGAGCATCTCAGAGGGGCTGCACGAGGACGAACGTGCCTGTGTCTATACAAAATTCAGAGTCTCTGAACAGGGGTATACAGTTGCCTAGGCAGAAGGTCAGTTCAATTCATACTACTTAGGGAGGCAGAATTAAATTACCTAGACTGACATTTGGCTAAGACATGGAGTTTAATATCCCTCTGCTCGTGGAAAATGCCAGGGGATATTTAACAGCCACAAAGGATCCATTTTAGCGCTCGTTGAAGAGATGGGATGGGCGATGGGCCCTTCCATGCTGCAGGGTCTCAGCTGCCTTTCTGAACCACCGGCTTCATTTTGAGATGTGTCTAACAACAGCCTGGGGCAATGGATAGATAAAGACTCACGGTTAAGCATGAGCATGAAGAGCTTTTCCTACAAGCTGCTCTTCACAGCTCTTCTTGCACACCGAGCCCTCGCTTGGATGCAGCAGCTGAAAACCAAGTGGGAAGAGCTGTGAGCTGCCTCCCGGCCAATTCCCCTTCCCAGGAATGTCTGGAGATGCTCCCTCAGCTCTACACGATAATATTACATCTGGTTTTGTAGCTGCTTAACTAGTACTCAGCCTAATGCCCATCGTCCATTATTATTATTATTGCTTTTATTACGTTACTGCCTGCAGGCCCTCGCTGTGGACAGGGCTCTATTATGCTGGCTGATGTACAGCCAGACAGCCCCTGCCTCGCCATGTATGGGCTAAATGGAGGCAGACAAAGGCTGGAGAAGGAGGAGTGCTCGTCTCCCTGTGAGGAGCAGGGACCCAGCAGGCTGCAGAGATTAAAGGACTCCTTCAAGGTCACATAGAAATTGGGGAGCTGGACACAGCCCAGCTCTCCTCACTTTTCAGCTGGCCCCTGCAGGACTGGCCCTGATGTTTCCCATGATGAGCACAAGGTAATGGAGTCTGTCCTAAGAGATGTAGGTCTGTTCTCACTGGAGCAGCTGCTGGTGGTGCGGTGCCCTCTCCTGGCTCTTGCATCCCCACCGCCTTGGAGGGACGTGGCAGGAATAGCTTTGGGTTTGTGTTTCTGGAGGGGCTGGCACTGCTACACTTTGTAGCCTGGGCAGGAGTCCCATGGAGGGGGGGACACACGGGGAGGTAGCAGGGACTGCTGTTTTTCCCATTAACCCACAGCGCCATTTGAAGGTTTGCTGCAGCCGGGAGCACAGCCCCTTTGGATGGCTGGGCTCTGCCGTTCTTGCTCTGAGCCAGGGCAGCCCTTCCCTGTGCTCCAGAGACAGTCCCAGCTCACAGGAGTGGGGCTGAAGGTCACATCCCTGCAAAACAGGCAGGTGACTCCCACCTCAGCATCAGGACACTTTTTTTTTTGCTTTCCTCCAGCCCACCACAGTGACATCTCTCATTGCTGCCCAAGCACGTGCCCTGCCCAGTACCACTGCATTTAAGCATCCTTCTGCTGTGGCTCCAGGCTGGCACAGCAAAAAGCAGGACCAGGCTCCCTGCATTACCCCAGAGGGTATCCCATCGAGTCCATCCCCAGCTTCATGCTTTCCTTCCCACTTCCTTGCTGCAGAGCCACAGTTCACAGTCATCTGCATTCGTTCAGCCAAACAGATTTTTGTTTTGCAAACGGAGCCCACCGAGCCAGCGCTGGATTTATACTTTTCCATATGTGTTTGGACTCCAAGTCGCTGTCGATGGAAGCTGATGTCCAGCCCGAGCCCAGGGATTCGGAGCAAACAGGGGAATTGCACAGCCATCTGGAGTAGCTCAGCACGGTGCAGCCCCAGCAAGTCATCCCTCCTGCCGAGGATAAAGCTGTAAATGGAAAATCATGTCCCATCCTGCTGCAAAGAGGGATCAGTGGGAGCTGGGAGGTGGCACTAGGCACCCATGGTCAAGCCCATGGGTGCTTGCTGGCCAGATGCTCCCCATGCCTCCAGGAGCATCCTTCAAGCACTGGGTGCAGTGGGGATGGAGGAAGCTGTCCAATCCTCCTTGCACCCACCGTGGCAGAGGGAAGGTGACGGAGGCAGGAGAGGCTGTCGGGGTGCTGATGAAGATAACAGTGAAGGAGGACTGCAGCAGGGTGTGTGCCAGGGTGCTGAGTGGTAGGGCTGGGGAGAGGGAGGTGGTGGTTAGGTACATCTTGGGGAGAACAGGACCAGTTCTGAGTCCCACCAAGGTGGCTGGGCTGTGGCTTCATTTCAGCAGCCCCAACTCTGCCTCATTTTTGGCCAAGAAAGCAGATTTGAAAGCATCACAGGCTGGTTTCTCCTAAGAGGAGCAAGTGTTTGTGGTGCAGGGAGGATGTCTTCCTGGTGACAGTAGCTGCAATGCCACCATCATCCTGGAGCAGAGATGGCAGCAAACGGCACAGACATGACTCCACTTGCAGTAAACTGTCCCCACATCAGTGCCTGGTCCCGTACAGCTTCAAGCAGAGGGAGAGATGTCCTTCCTGCATAGGACAGGACTGCAGGCAGGTAGGCTAGCAAGGGAGCAGCTCACTCGCCACCACCACCTTCTTCCTCTCCCAGGGGAGACAAAGCCCCTTTGTGGGCATCACCTCCCACCCACAGCAGGTGAACTGCTGGGATCAGCATGGAGGAGAAGACTTCTGAGTGCAGGGCAGGAGATCTGCCAGGCAGAGAGGGGCTCCTCACAGCCCCAGCATCCCTTGGGAGAGGAGTTTGATGCTGGCATCTTCACAAGCTGCTGCTCAAGGTGGCCAAAGCCAAAGGACTGTTACTCAATCCAGAGATTTTTGGGCCAGGAGGGATCCATTGTCCTGCATGAGGACTTTAGAGGGGGTTAAGAGCCATCCTGGGATATGAGGACCCATGTGCATTGCTATTCTTAGAGTGCATAGAGAGCCCTTTTCCAGCCCAGATACAGTTGTGCACCCAGGTCCCCATGCCCAGCTCCTTTCTGGCCATGAGAAAAGGAGAAGCATGAGTGTACCTGTCCTGGTTTTGCTTGTGAAACTAACACAGTACCCAAATCTAGATCTTTTTGTAGCTTTGCTATTGGAAATAGGGAGTTTGAGATGTTGGGAGTTGAGCAAACCCCTAGTGAGGCTCAAGGCTTGCTCTGCAACAGGCAATATTGTTTGTTACAGCATGTCTGTGATTTGCTCCCAGCACTCTAAAAGTAGCTGCAACTTCAAAGCACATTGCATAGCTTGCAGCTAATTAATATTTGCTTGAAATACTTATCAGGTAGCAAGAAAATATCCTTGTGTCCCAAAAGCAGAGCAGGCTGAGAGATGCTTGGGGTGGGAGGTGACCACAGCAATCCTTTGCCCTTGGCAAATACAATGTGCTAATGCTTTGAATCCCCAAAACCCCAGCCATAGACACAGGGGCCAAACTCTGACACATTACTGTGGGGTATGCTGGTTTGAATGTGGGTCAGACTCACAGAAATCAGGAGGTGCAAGGGAAGTGCAGGGTTTGGGCTTGGTGGGCTCCTTGTATTGACTCAAGTAGCCCTGGGGAGGAAGGATGCTCTCTGCCCTGGAAAGGTTGTTTCCATGTCTCTCCAGCACTGGCATCTCCTTGATGGTAGTTGTTTTGTGCCAGGACAGCCATGTGACTGACCTGGACAAGAAAAGGTGATTTGCATCTAATTAGTTTGGGAAAAGCATCTTCTGCCTGTTGGCTGCTCCCCTTGGAAGGCACACAGCACAGAGCCCAGCCAGCTGTGCCAAAGGGTGTGAGGAAGGATGCCTCTTGCAAAGCTTTACCAGCCACCTTCTTCTCTTCCAGTAAAGCCGGACCCTCCGGAGAGCGTGGTGGCCAAACCCGTGCCCAACAACCCTCGGAGGCTGGAGGTGTCATGGCAAAACCCCTCATCCTGGCCTGATCCTGAGTCTTTCCCACTGAAGTTCTTCCTGCGGTATCGGCCCCTCATTCTGGACCAGTGGCAACACGTAAGCGATGCTGAGCTGGCTGGGACGGGAGGGAGCAGGGGGAGCTGGTGGCTGGGAACAAGTTGCACTGGGAACAAGTGGTCAGGGACCAAAAAAAAAAGTCTATTTACTGCACAGGCAATCCAGATGCTATTCCTCTCCTTCTCTCTTCCTCTCTGTCTTTCTTTTAACTCCCGTTCTGCCTACAAATGGCTCTGCAGGCTCTCCTCGCTCCACATTTCATCCACGGCCCCTATCTACTTTCCATACATATGTTCTATATAAAACCTGCCAACGAGATGTAAAAGGCATTTAAAGTATAAATGTCACCACATTTAAATGCGCCTCTGCCACATTTAGATTTTGAACTGAAGATAAAATACCGCTTGCTGTAACTCAGAACACAGTCATAGAGCGATTGCCGCGATGTTATCGTATTTCTTACTTTTATTTCTCGTTTCTTTAAAAAAAAAAAAAATAGTCAGTGAAATCCTTGGCAGCCCAGAGGACAGATTTCATTTGTTAGCTGCAGGAAGATAACGAACGGGCCTTTTTTTTTCCCCCTCTGTGTGCTCCTTGCATGCTCAGCTTGTGAAGGAAAGCGATCTGCTGCTCGAGGAGAGGTGCTGCTAGGCTGGCATGGCTCATCCAGCCTCCACTCTGCTCTGAGCTGGGACAGTCAAAAACCAGTTAGGTTCTTTGCTTGATAAAGATTTTTGCCCCCCAAAAAAGACAAGTAGGAGGCAGCACTTGGTCCCCGGGGAGCTCACCTGCATCATGGGGCCAAGTGGGGTTTTTTGCCGACCAACTATTCTTGGGGAAAGAAACAGCTGAGAGAGGGGATGGGAGGCTTTGCTCATGTCTCTGCAAAATTTTGATGTCTCAGTGACTTTCTTTTTGCCTTGGTTGGGTTTTTTGATGAGGCAGCGCTGCAGGTCATGTTTCAGATTGGAGCATTTGCTGATGGCTTTGAAAATCAGAGAAGGGTTGGGAGAGGGTTTTTCTGCTTATCTCTTTGCCCTTCGGTTTCCTCCTGGGAGCAGGAGAGCATCCATGGAGCATCCTGAGAGGGAAGAAAGTAGAAGTGGAGTTTGGGTATTAGTTTTCTGTGGGTTTTTTTTTTTTTTTTCACTTGAGGGAGAAATTCTTGAATTGTAGAAGCTATGAAAAAATGGAAAGAGTTAATAGGAAATACCAAACACAGTGGCAGTTTTTCCAAGGTATGAAACTGCTGTGGAAAAAGATGGTGTTTTTACCCTGCCACAGCCTGGTCTAGCCAAACACTCTGCAAGTGCAGGGGTTTGCACCCAAAAATCGTGGGAGATCCAGTGAGCTGCCTCCTACCTCAATAGCCTCAAGGTGGCTGGTCCCTCCATCATTGGGTGTTAGGTGTCATATTCATGGGGTCAAGACATGCCAGTCCCCTGGCCACGAAGCCTCCAAGGGGTTGGCTTGGCCTCTCCATCAGTGCTCTCAGGCAGGTAGCAATGGTGGGAAATACATGGAGGTGCTGCCAAGACCAGTAGCAGGGCCACCCTGGCTGGAAAAGGCAGGTCTAGGGCACTAAAAACTTGATTTTTCCTATTTAAAGATACCCTGAGCTGCGGGGAGAGCTCCAAGTACCAGTCCTCATGGTGGGTGCAAGAAGGACTGGGAAGGGCTCATCTCCCAGTGTCCAAGAGGGTACAGCAGTCCTGGGTACATCTTTTAACCAATATCTTCTTGCAAGAGACATGTCCCCCATCACTGGCTGGTGGAGAAGTGTGCTTGATGAATAATTTTCTCAGAGAGCAAGTGCAAGCATTCAGTGAGTGAGGTACCAGCCTTGTTTTCTGACTCTCTGCCCTGCTGGCTGGGTAATGAAAAATCTGATTTGTGGATGATTTGAGGAAAACTGCCACTATTCATCAGTTGAATTATTTGCAAAACCTAATCCAATCAGCTCCCAAACACCAAGGGATGGCAGCACTGAAGCAGCTGGAGCTGCTCTGACCCCAGACCCCCTTGGCATGCTCAGCCTGCTTAGCCTAGACAGGCACCTTGCAAATGCAGGGTTTTGGACCCAGAAATGAGCCCTGAAGATGTCAGCAAGCTGGGAGCATGCTCAAGCCATGCTGTGCTTGAAGTATTGCTTGTTGGCATCTTGGAGGTGTCCCCCATTGCAGCTAGGAGAGGGAAGGACGTGGTTTGGTAGGACCAAGCCTAGCTCAGCCGTCCAGCTTGTCCTGCAGTTGTTGTGTCAGGTCTCTCCTCGAAGGGACAAGTATCCTGAGAAAGGATGCAGTGGTCATGCATAGAGGTGTCTTAATTCTTGCTGATGTGAAGTTCTCCTGCCACAAGCTGCCCCTCATCTTGGATCCTGCTCTCCCCACTGGCTGCTGGTGTGGAAAAGCCACTGCTGTGGGTTTAAAGCATTTCCTGCCATCCCCTTGGCAGCCCCTGGGGAAGTCCAGCATCCTTGCAGGAACAAACCCATAAGGGAGGACCAGAGACTGCCCAGAGCCAGGAATATCCATGCAGGCCCCACTCACACTTGGCATTTCTTGGCAGAAGAAGCAGCTCTCCTTTCTCCCCTCTGCCTCCTGTTATCTTTGCAGGGTCTGATTTATGCACAGCACCTCGGCAGGCAGGACCGAATGAGCGCTAATAGGATCAGATGGATGTCGAGCTGTCGAATACCATAGGGCCTGATTCAATCAGCGTCTGCTTTCTCCCAGGCTCTTCCTTTCAGGATTTTAATAATGCCAGGGCTTGGCACCAGAAGATGAAGCCATCCATGGCGGGAGCAGGGGATCTTATCGAGACTGCCGCTGTGCGAGCTAGCCATAAATGCAATTTACCCCCTAGAGAGCTGAGATGCTTGGCTGAAGCATTGCCCCCCATCAAGTAATATCTAGGGCTGACCCAGAGCCAGGGGGACACCCTCATCCCCTTCCCAGTGCTTTGCAAAGGTGGGTTTGAGCCCCAGCGTGGCCTTGCACTCCCTTTCCCCTGCTCAGTAATGCCTTTCCACTCAGGCCACTTAGCAGCTCTTGTGTTGCAGTTTGCTCTGGGAATTACGACAATGTGTTCTGGGAATTATTATCGTGGAGAGATGATGATGATGATGATGATAATGATGACTTTCCACGTAAGCATGCAGTGGGGCGTGTGCTGGATGCTCCTTGCACCATCGTGCCACCTCACAGCAGCTCCCTTGAACCTGGGCACAGGCATTTTCCAGCTGTTTGGGATGCAGCTATGTCAGACGATGTCAAATCGAGTGGCCACCAACTCCCTTCCACCCCACAAGCACCGACATCACTCTAAAACTCAAGCAACTTTAAAGTCACTCTCCTCCTTTTCTGGAAGAGGGGCTGGTGGTTTCTCTGCTGCCAGAAGAGTGATGGGATATTTGTGGCCTAAACAGGTTTTTTATTCTCTCCTTTTGGCAGAATCTCCTCTTCTGTCTCCTAAATATAAAACATTAAATGTTTAGGGTATCCTTTATTTTTCTTCTGCTTTTAAGTTTGTAATTCAAGCCAGATTAGCGTGGTTTCCTCTTCTGTTTTATAGTCCCATCCTGGCCCCAAGCGAGCTCTCCTAATGCTCTCAGATGTTCCTCTAATGGCTTACCTAGGCTGGAACTGGATACCCTTTCCTAATGGATTGCTAATAGCCTGTTTCTGGTTTTACAGGCTCCTTCAGTTAACTCACAACAGCAGCGATTGCCACGCTCACACGTGCGATCTCCCCACAAGCACATTTGCATGCTCACCCCTAGATGCAGGCGGGTGGTCAGGCACCATCCTGAGCATCTTTGGGAGCCCCAGGGCAGGTCTTGTACCATATTTGCTCCCACCTCCTAGCATTTACTGGAGCAGAATCTTCCCTTTTCCCATTTTTTTGAGGGGAGATGGCATGCGCTGAGCACTGACCAGCTCGGTGCATGTCCTGGGAGCATGGCAAGGCTCAGCAAGTATTTCTTAAGCAGCATCAGAGCTGGCAGCCAGGCCAAGGGAGGATTTCCTCCTATGGGTTGCCAGCAATTTGCAGATGCCGTCGCAAAGTCTAATTGAACCCATTGGCCGCGCTGACAACATGAAATGTTAACGAACCGTGAGGCGGGCTGCGCCTCAGATCTTGAGATTTGCAGAAAAAGGTCATGAGATATTTAAAGCTAATAATGTGGTTGGATTCTCTCCTTCCTCTTCTGTTTTGGAAGCATTAGAACCACGTCTGTGAGTATTTGCAAAGGCTGGAAACGTCCTTCTTTGGAAAAGCAAGCAGAGGTGCTCCCACCCTCCTGGGATTTTAGGAGCTGGGGCCACAGAGCTGCTGATGCAGGCATCTGTGCCAGCTCTGCTGCTGAGCAGCTCTGATTTGGGCAAATTATGAGGATTTGGGGACAGGAGTGGACAATTTATGTGTATTGCCAAATATTTATTGGTTGGGTTTGTTGGTATGAGGAGAGCGTGGTCCTCTGGGATGGCCACTGTCACTCGTGTTGGGGGTGGCTGCCAGGGTGGGCTCAGGCTCATCTCCCAAGTTAAAGCAACATTTTTCAGTCAAATAGGTGAATCTCATGGGCTGTATCTGGAAGCCTCTACCTTGAGGAAGCCTGTCTTAACCTGAAAGTGTGTGCTAATGCGTATCCTGCCTGCAATGGGCAAGGGGGAGGGATGGAGCTGGGGAAGGCAATTAGTGCCAACTCCTGCTGCAGCTGCATCCCCGTGGGCACAGCAGCAATGTCACTTTGCGGTGGGTATGCTTCTTCACTCCCATTTGCATCCCCCCGTTCCTCTGCTGCTTTGCCTGCACTGCCCCCCGCC